GAAGAAGACAATTATTTAGCCATATTTGTAGCCCTAATCTATCCTAATCCAACAGGCTCTTTATAGTAATCATGGCTTGTTGTGCCTATTGCTAACTGTGGTTGTGTACTTTAGACTGTGAAAAATTAAGAAAACATTTCATTTTTATAGCATTTTATTTTTTTTAACATCTCCAGGCAGCACTAGAACATATTTCATTATGTGAGAACTACTCAAAGTCCTTCTTGTAATGACTATTCAAAGTTCTTTCTAAAGTCCAGAAAATAATTTTGAGGTACTTTGTTTTGTACAGCGATCTAATGATTGTACAGTTGCATATGTTCTACTAATAAGACATGTAACTGTTTGCACCAACACAATTATATTGAGTGCCAAATCTTTCCCTATATTTACTGTGATATAGATCAGAAATATCTCTGTCAATACTGCTTTCCTTTCTTAAAATGTGTATTCTTCAGTCAGAAATTCCATGTCCATACGGCATCCGATTTAGGATCCCATACTGTAAAGAATCTAAATCCAAGCACAGAAACATGAATATGTGTGCTATCACAGCTGCGGGATCTTGAAGCCCACTGGCCTGTACGTATTGCTATGTAGTGCAGCCCCCTACGTTTGATGAATTAATTGAGTGTATCACAGTCTCTGAAATGTGGCCGATATTTAAGTGTTGTGGAGCATAATAGGTATGTGGGTAATACTACAGTAAGTTGTCTCTCATGCTGCTGAAGCAGGCAGAAAATTACTGTCAGGCATTACCTCTGGAAAAGAAAGTCGCTCTGAACTCTGCAGAGATCTGAGCAGGTAATGAATGTGATGTTTTTACAGAATACAAATGTTATGTCTGCAAGTAGGTACATGTTTCTGTTCCATGCATGCAATATGGCTTAAAACAAAAATTTAATTACGTAATGCAAATATATGTTCAGTGCTTGTAAGCTGCTGTACATTTTTCTACATAATGACTCAGAATGAAAAGTCCTACTTGTGTAGATCAGGGTAACAAAATTGAGTAAAGGTTTTTAATTCAGAAGACCTATCAAACTTTGTCTCTAGTTTCCCCCTGCTCCTTCCCAAAAGGCCCAGTATATTGGCTGTAGATACTAGACATGATAAAGACTTTTTTTATTCTTTATGAAAAATACTGAAACTGGCTATTTTGTGGCAACTGTTATAAACAGATTTGCAAGCTAATTTTCCAATCTGGTATCACGTATAAGAATAAGGGAATGGAACTAGCTTGAACAAAAACCATCAAAGAACAAAACAATTAATACATTTGGAAGTAGGGCCCTTCTCTTAAAACACTGACATTTATTCAATAGGCCAACCCTCAATTCCCACCTGCTTGAAATTCCTCCTTGAAATGTACTTCTTTGGAGAGATCAATAATCCTTTGTCACCAAATGTGTATGATGGACCACTATGTTGTTTTTGTTGTGCTTTCTGCTAAAACCCAGGAATCAGTTTAAAAAGATCTAGAATGAACAAAAGTATGTTACTCCTGATGAGCAGAGTTAATCTGAATGTCTAACATGCTTCAGCTTTTTTTTTTTTTTTTTTTATTTTATTATTATGTGCTCTAAGGGCTTTGTGAAGTAACAGAAATACAACTTAAAAAAAAAAATGGAACACATTAAAACTTTACCAGCCTGAGAGAAAACTGAGGCAACTTTTTTTGGGAAAGTGTTTGCTACAAAATGGCAAAGTCTGTGTACAAAACGTGTTTTACGTTGTTTTGATTCTAACTGTACACTCTGTGAAGAAACAGGATTGCATCAAAGAAATAGCTGATTTCACCAGTCACTTCTCCTAATATAAGTAAACAACCCACAGGGCTGCAAATATTGATTTACTACTTAGATTAAAAGTGTTAACATTACGCAATCCCTTTGCTGATATCAGGAAGGAGGTGAGAAGCTGCTGACTATTTCCAAGCTTACCCTGAACCATGGGTGAAAACCAGAAACCTTCTAGACTGGCTTTAGTTTCTCTTCAATGTACCTTTCTCTTGCTTCATTTTGACCTCTGTGATAAGGATGAACATTGGCGTTGGTACAGAACAATTGCACTGTCTGGGAAATTCTGTTATACAGATCACATTCCACAGAGATCACTGATGGTTTTTTCTTACTGGAAAGATACAAAGCAGTTGCAACATGACAGAAAATGAGAATCCTTTCAGTCAGATTTGGTTTTAAAGATAGTGTGACATACTGTTATATACAGGCAGTTTTAATTTTTGTTTGTGGACTCTTAAAATGTTTGCAGAGGTGTTTCTGAGCTCTTGTGAATTTAGGTTTCCTCACAATAGGCTTGCTTTTCTTAGCTACCTGTTTTGAAGCCTTTGGAAGTATTCCACTTACCCTCAGGGTATTGCTAGTTGACTATAGCTTTATTTATAGAAAGCAAATAAATCTGTTTCTGCTCTGCTTTCAAAAAAGAATGTTTGAAAGCTTTCAAAGAACTGCTTTAAACATTTCTTATGACAAATAAAAAAAGCAACTGCTACATCAGTAAATGCTGCGTAATTCAATTAGGCATTTGCATACCTGTAGCTACAGGAAAGGTTTCCCATAGTGCTGTTTCTAAAGCCTCCATAGATCAAGGTATATTTGACTCTTCACTTGGATACCCTCTCTGTAGTTAATTTTATTATTTTAAGTATAACCTGACAGGTTCTCTTCCTACCTTAGATTGTAATTAACCAAAATTTGTTTCCAACTTTGCTGAAATAATTCGACTCAGATGTTCGTCCTTTAACAAACAAAGCATTTTGTTGAATACCCCTGGCAACGCCACTGAACCTGGACGTTGTGCACTGGTGCCTGGTTTGGGGACATGAGTGGACAAGCCCCACAGGCACCAGGATTCCCCACTGAGCTTCTCCCTGTGGCATGCAAGGCCAGCTTGTCCAGGGCCAAGAGGTTGATGAGGAGGTCCCGTGGTTTGGTGAGTTCTCCAGTAGTGAGGGCATAAAGGAAGAGGTGTGCGAAGAGTTCCACTCAGGAGAAATGCACAACCTGGAGCACCTGAAATCCATGTGGGAGAAAGAACACTCAGTCTGAGGTGGAGAGATGGAAGCTCCAACTTAAATGTGTTGGAGGTACTATGAAACTGCACCTGGAGAACATTAGATATGTCAGCCTAGAAGAGAGATGAGTGAGGTAGTAGTGCAAGGAATCTGATACAAGTCTATAAAACAAGGAGTGGCATAGAGACAGTTAAGAGAGAATGAGAATTGATGGTTAATTAACGCAAAAGGGACATCAAATGGAAATACCAGACAGAAGGCTCAAAACACACAGAAGTGATTTTCACACAGCATGAAGTTAAACTGTGGAACTACATCAAGCTGTAGATGGCAGGAGTTTATATGGATTAAGAAAGCAATTGGATTTTTCCTCCATTATTTTGCCTATCAAGAGCAGAAATTGACTACTTGTAGCTTAAAGTCTCTGAGCTGCAGAATTTGTTATCTTCCTGAGAGATGACCAGCCACCATTGGAAACTGCAGGCTGCTAACTGGGCCACTGGTCTGACCCTCTGTGGCCATTCCAGGGCTCTGGCTGGCTTACGCACAAGCCATGCTTCCTTACCCACTAGCAGGATACATCAGGGTAAATCCAAGCTCAGTTAATTCAAAATTTAAGACTGCGGGAAGTATAAAATAGCTGGAAAAAAAAAAAATATTCTCTTGCTGTTTATGAGAAAGAGTTGGAAAATAGGTTAATCCATCAGTGTTTTAGTTGGGGGAAAAAAAAAAAAAAATCTAGCAAGTTTGTTTGCCTAACCTGTCCTAAATACAGGGAGGTTAGATCAAAAAAGTATTTAATCTGCATAAAACAAGATGTGCTTTTGGGCATCTTGCACAATCCAGGCCCTCTCACTAGTGATGATTTGACATTAAGCAAAACAACGGGGTTTGAAACAAATTAGAACAAAGTGAGAGTAATAACGGACTGCCCTGAACTTCACCTAGGCCAAGCAAAGCAAAAACCACACAGTGATTCAGTTCAGCCTCCATCCAGGGAAGTGATGCGCTTTTTGCTTCTCTAAGAAGGAGAGCTATTAAATATAACATCCGCATTGCATATGCAGTTGTCACCAGAAAATTTTAGCCTCCTGCAAGGTGTCGTTTTTGTAGGAACAAGCTCTTGTTACCAAATACAGCTATGGCTTGTTTTGTAATTTTGCTTTTTTTCCACACTCTGTTCCACTCCATATGGAGTGGGGGAGGATTGTGCTGGACTTCTGCTTGGCATAGATGGAGCATGAAATGTTTCCTCTTCCTTCACACGTTAAGAAGCGGCTATGTGCCTCATCAAAAATTGCGTTATTTTGTGCTAGTTCTCTTCCAAAGAAGCCTCTGATTCCAAAACATGTAAAACCCATCTGGCAAACTCTGGCATGAATCACAGGGATATTTGTGGCCTCTGGCTTTTTGAACCGTGCTGTGAGTAATCCCAGTTGCTCTCGCCAGTGCCGGTGATGAAACCCGTTTCTTGTGTTCCAAGTAAAGACTCATCTGGGGGGTCTCGGGATTATCAGGAGGCCAAACTGGCTACCAGACCTCTGTGCTGCCTCACCCAGCCTGACAGACCTGGGCTGGTGGCCTTTGCGCTTCCCGGGCAAGCCAGCCAACAGGAGCGGCGAGGCCAGGGCTTGAGGTGGTTCTCACCATATGCCCATAGGTCTGGCTGTTCGGCAAAATTCACAGTACAGCAGCCCAGGCCGGCAGCTCTGCCGAAATCACGCGTGTAGCCTGTTCTCCCGAGACCTCACACACACACAGAGTACCTCCTCCACCGGGCTGCCAGCCCCGGGGGACAGGGGCCACCTCGATCACCTGCTGTGCGCCACGGCGAGACACCGTGGGGAGGGTGACACGTGGGGACCCCACGGCCGGCGGCCGCCCTGTTCCGCGCCCGCCCCTTCCTCCGCGGCGGCGCGTCACCGCGGGAGGATTGGACGGCGGCTCCTCCCCGCCGCTCCCCCCGTACCGGCTCTCCCCTCCTTCCCCCCCCCCCCCCCCCTCCCGCGCTCTCAGCCATTTTAGCGGCCGGTCCAGCCGCGGGGCTCCAGTTTTCCGCCGGTAGCGCCGGGGACGAGGTGGGTCCGCGCAGCGTAACGGCCGGGGCGCGCCCGCGGAGAGCGAGCGGGCGGGGGGGGGACACACGGGCAGGTTCCCTCGGTGCCTCCCGGGAGCATCCGGGACGAGGTGAGGGGCGGGAGGGTCGCACGGCGGAGGGGGGAGCGGGGCTTGGCGCTGCCCTCCGGCCCGTCCTCCGCCCCCGCCGGGGGTGGGACCGCGACTGCCGCCCGCCTGGGCGGAGGCAGCCGGGTCAGCTGAGGGAAGGAGCGGGGAGGGGAGTTACGTGAGGTCAGGTCCCTCCCAGCCTCCCCGGAGCCGCGGGCATGGCTCCCGGGGGGGCGGCTGGCCCGAGAGGATGCGCCCGGGCTTGGCTTCCCAGGGCGGGGGGCGCGGCAGGCCCCGGCCGCTGCCCGGCAGCGGGTGGCGGGCCCTGGAGATGTTTGCGGGGAGCGCGGAGTGTGTGTGTGGGGGGTCGGGCTGGTTACCTGCGGAGGAGCGTCCGATCTCTACGCCCTCCCCGCGCTGGGGCGCAGCCCCCTCCACGCCCGCGGAGCATCCCTCCGTCGCTGCCCGCCTTTCCCTCGGCCCTTCGGGGCCCAGCGCGGCTGCTCGGGGCCGGCGGCAGCAGCAGCAGCAGCATTCCCCGCTCGCTCGGCTGGCTCCTGCCCCGCTAACCCAGCACGGTGAGGGCTCCGCTCCCGCCTGGGCCCCAGCGGCGTCCCGTCCCCCGCTGCCCTCCGGGGCCTGCCCGGTCCGGCGACAGTGCCACCTCCTCCCGCGGAGCCCCCCCGCCCCCTCCTTCTAGATGCAGAGAAGGAGGTTGGGCTCAGGATATGGTCTGATGCTGATGTAGCACACGCAGAAACCCAGGAAAGTCTGATTCATTGCTCAACGCTACGCACAGGGCATATTTTTTCTACTTCACGTCATAACAACACCTGTTAAAGCAAGAAACTGGTTGAATATATTTTTTTTTGTTTGTCCTCTTCCTCTGAGATAAGGTTTGCTTTGTGGTGCTCTAAAATATCCTTGTAGGCTTTGTGAATTTCTGAAGCTTATTTGCAAAGCAAGTGTAAGTGCGCCGCACGCCTGTGCTGCCCCGGAGGAGTGGGGACACTTTGTGGGCCAAGGACAGGGGGCTGTACAGACCCCCCCTTATCCAGTGCTGCTGTTGTACCTAATGCTCTAGTGAAATAATTATAGCAACTTTTGAACTATTTTGTACTATAACCCCTTTCTTCCTAACATAATTGTTTCATATTTGATTTTTTTTTCTTCCTAGTGAGGATGCTCAATAAATAGGTTACAGAGAAACCTGTAACCTCTGAGAGTACAGAGAAATTTGGTGTAAATTAAGAGATGTTACATATAAAGTAAATGGACAGCTGTAGTCCCTGATGGTTGTAACAGATGATTGTCAGGTGAAAGACAATATCTGGCCTTACTTGGTTGCTTTTTTCATCTTGGGCTGTTGTAGCTTAATAATATGAATATGACATGCTTTGTCATTTACAATTTTAGACAAACTTACACTGATAGCCTTGCCAATTTGAAGTACAATAATTGGCAAACAAAGCTACAAATATGAATTAGAAACATTTTTTTTTTTCCTTTTAATTAAGTTCTACCTTTTTGAGTCTTTGGGATTTGTCATCTCAGACTAACTGCAATGATTAAAGACATGGATTTCTTTTATTTTTTTTTCTCCCTAACATCTGAAAATCTTACATTTTAAACAAATCTTCTCTCCCAAACAAGAGACAGAATTAGCAATGTTCCACAGTTTCAGAAAGATTCTTTGGTTTAATTTTTTTTAATTCCACTCTTCATGCATGAATACAAAGTTTGGGGTTTAATACAGTTCTACAGAAGCCTTAAATATTTCCACGTCGTTATTTTAGGAAATATTTAGTGTATTTTTTACTTATCTCTCATTTCTTTGTATTTGCCACTCTATAAACCTGGACAGACACCTTCCCCCCCCCCCCCCCCCCCCCCCCAAGAACCCCACTGTGGTGAGGTTTTCACGATGCATTAAGTATTTGGGTATTTGCATCTCATACAAACTTAACTCATGTATTACCTTTGACGCTGTCTGTAACGTATACTTTGCAAGCAAGTGACGGTGTTGACCATTGTCTGCTGATTGAATAATCAAGCATTTATCATCAGCTATAAATTTTCAGCATAATAAATTACCAGTGTTCAGTGGATGGCACCTCCTAACATGAGGATTATGCTTCCTCCCTTTTATAAAACTAGAGAAACCCCTCTTCAACAAATCACTAAGGCAAGGCATTAGACAGAAGTATATTCCAAGTGATGGTGAGATATGGATGTAGTAAAATAGATGCAGCATATTACACTGTTTTAAATGAAGTTAATACCCAAATGAAATATTAAACAGTAGCCTGAGCCAAGTAAACATGCAAAATCTATTGAAGTTAATGATTAATAAAAAGAGCTAGGTAGTTAACATGACAAATGAATGAGTGTTTGTTTATAAGAAAACTGCTCTGAATAAAGAATTGAGCTAAAAAAAGTGTTGAAGTTAATAATTAAGGGAAATCTTCATGGTATATGCAACTAAGCACGTGGTCACTGTGCTTCAGGACATTTATTTTCTCGGGAGAGATGGAGGTTTCATGGAAGGAGGGAAGCAGTTTCCTGAGAAACAAAATTTAGTTTTGTTCCACCTGTTTACATATGGGATTGCTATTTAGATGGTGCGATGTCTTCCACCCTTTTTGTGGAAGGCACATCTCAAAAGTTGGCCACGCTGTTTAGTTTTCCTGCATTCTGCAGCAGCTAGAGAGTGACTGTTTTGGTGTTCATTTCAGAGTTATCTCCTCTCTGTAACTGAGATTGCTCTCTGTCACAGTTTTGGAAGGTGCGTAGTGGAATAGGCTAGCTGTATAGAAGGGCCCAAGGGAAAGCTTAAGAAAATATTTCTCCCCTGCTAGCAAAGCTGTGTTTTACGGTGAGAAGCAAATATTAATACTTTGCTGTTGCTTTTCTTTTGTTTCCTTAAATATTTTGTTGGGGGTGGAGGGGGGAAATTAGGATTGCCCATAATCTGCTGACACTCTTAGTAACTGTGTGTTTCCTCAAAATCTTGAGCTCTGTAGATAGGCACATAAAAATGAAAACTGGACTCAGGAGTGGTTATTTCTTCTGCGGCCACTCACTCCCAGAGTAACTCGTATCGCGCTGAAAGTAAAGCACACGCTGGAAGTGGTGTGACGGGTTTCTGTAATGATCCGTGGTGGACACGAAGCTGCCAGCGCCAAGGCCCTTCCTCACAGATCGCTGTTTGTGGTCCGAGTGGTGGACAGGGAGGGCCTTGCCTTAATCCTGGCGATGGTGGAGCTGTGAGAAGTTGTCACTTGTTTTACACGGACGTGAACTCAGAGACACTCAATGGAAAAAGCCTTGCGCTTGCAAAGAGGAAGGCTTCTGGCTGGTTGCCATAGTTGCTTTGGAGATGTGGTTTCAGTTTTCTTTTCTGCAGCAGGTACCTAGTGTGATCTGCATTGAGCCCCTTGGCAGAGATCAACAAAAATACTTGGACAGAACTTAAAAAAAACTACAGCAGATCTGCTTTCCCTGCCCCACTTCTTCATAGGGCTATCAGTTCCTACCTAATGCTTCATATAAAGTGTGCTTGTAATCAAGAGATGGCTTTAATCATGTGCCAGGTGTGCATAACATTATTTATCTGACCAAGCATGATACAGAGGTTAGGAATGAGTGGTGGGGGTGGAAATTCCTTACGCTCCTGTTGTTGCCCTAGATAGGAAGCCTTTCTGCTCTTCAGGCTCCAAGGCTGCTTTTGACCTGTGCTGCCAGAGCTCATGGTAGCTTTTGAGTCAGGACTAAACTTGGTGCTGGCTTGAACTCGATCTTCTGCAGAGGTTAGATATGAGGAGCGCGTGTGAGCGAGGCGCATTGGTACAATTGGCTGGAGAGTTATTCTACATTTTAAGATGATCCCAAATATAGTAGAAAACTCAGAAGGCACATTGAACCATTTCTTAGTAAGGAAATAAATAGCCCAGGCAGTCTTGGGAAATGGAGGAGCAGAGCAAGTAAGGAGAGGTGACTGTGGGCAAGGGGCTGGGGGGGGGGGGGGGGGGGGGGGGGGGGCAGGAAGTGTTTTTCCTTTAGCCAACGTGTTGCCAGAATGTCAATTTGTATAATGGATCGTTTTTAAAGTCTGTGTACGTGAGTTGATTATGATGGAAGTGAGGTTGGAGGTAGTGCTACCACATCAAAAAGTCAGCATGCATTTTATTTGCTTTGCTTTTGGATTAATAGCTGTGTAACCTGAAGGATGTGAGGAATTGGTTCCCTCTTTGCTTCAGATAGAGCTAAGCACTTGGACTTTCCATTGGAATCAAAAAGTACTTTTCACCTCAGTGAAGTGGTTTATAAGGAATCCCAGATATTGAGAAAATATATTTTTTGTTGTTGTTTTTCCCCCTGTATTTAAATATTCTGCAAGTTTTTTGTAGTACAATTAATGCCGAATTGATGGATATTGTACAGCTGGGAGTTCACTGAACTTCAAGGTGAGGTATTTTCATCTGCAAAGTAGAGATAAAGCGATCCACCAATTATCACAGATTTAAGAGTTTCAGATTTAAAGTGATCCAGGGTGGATCCTTGGTTGTCACTCTTAAATCTGTTACACTTGAATACCACTGTTGTTCAGTGAGGACAAAACTAATGAACTAGGATTTCCTTCAATGTATATTGATGTGACTGTTGACTCCTTAGAGTATGTTACTGCTTCATCAGTTGAGGATCTTCTTCTAAAAGCATGCTTGTAACCTGCCTATTAGGCAATAGATTTATATTTCTTTTTTAATTCTTACTGTAAATTAATTGGTCTGTCAATAGCAGATGATAAGTTTCAGAAACCAGAGCATAATACCTGTATGCACATCTGTTTTACTTTAAACTGTGTGATAATGCTGCAGCTCATTTCATGATTTTTGCTCATCACTTTTGTTAG